GGGCCTGGGGGTGTAGGCTGGTCAGCCCAGGAGGCCAAGGGTGGAGGCCACTAGTTCCAGGCAAGTTGGGCTATGGAACGTGGACTGCATTCAAAGCCGGTCAGGGCAATAGTGAGACTCTGCCTAAAAAGTGAGACTGTGACTAGGAATGTGGCTCATCAGGAGAGTACCTGCCTATCATACAGTACCTTCAGCACAGAGAGAGAGAGAGAGAGAGAGAGAGAGAGAGAGAGAGAGAGAGAGAGAGCTCAAAAAATGCAGTCTCCAGAGTTCCAACACAGCCAGCACGAGGACATTTTATTTAATTTTTATTTTATGTGTATGAGTGTTTGCCTGAATGCATGTAAGTACACCCATGTCATGCAATGCCGATGAAGTTTAGAAGAGGGTGTTGGATCCCCTGGAAGTGAAGTTACAGATGGTTGCTAGTCACCATGTAGGTGCTGGGAATTGAACCTGGGTCCTCTTGAAGAGCAGTCAGGGCTCTTAACCACTAAGTCATCCTCTCCAGCCCCTCCTTTTTTTTTTTTTTTAAAGACAGGGTCCCGGTAGCTCACCCTGCTGTGGAACTAGAAGCAATCCTCCTGCCTCAGTTTCCTGAGTGCTGGGATCACAGCTGTGAACTATCACACTGCATCTGAGGGTTCTATGTATGGCTGGTATTCACTTGAGGGTTGCCGTGAGCTGGGCCCTATTCTGAGTGTTTTAACCATACCAATCCCCTGATCCGGACACTGGGGCTGGCTGCTACCTCGAGGAAATGGGCACAGACGAGGAGCCCATGCCATGCAGCCAGGTATGTCACCTACATCTGAGTCTGGCCTTTCCATGGCTGTACCATCTGGCAGTGAGACAGCCACTGTGCTCCTGTCATCACTGTCCCCCATCCTCCTAGCAGGTCCCACCACAGGGGTCTCCTCTGAACAGCTGACCATTCTGGCAACATCCTCAGTTCCCTCCATGACAGTCTCAGCCCTCCTCTTCCCTATAGACTAGGGCTGCCTTCAGCATGGCCCAGCCCTGGGGTGTCACAACAGGGTCAGTTAAGCACTTCCCACCCCAGGGCCAAGCCAGGTGCGGTCAGTGAACTAACGGCTTGAGAAACCCAGTCACAGGAGCACAAGTGTTTGGGAAGACCACCTCGCCTTCAGGCGCTGAAGAACCAGGCCCTGGACAACCCACATTAGTCTCCTGAACATGTTCTCTCCTTAGCAGGTTCCCCTGGGGTCCCACTCTATTTATTTATTATTTTTTTTTTTTGGTCTTTTTGAGACAGGGTCTCCCTGTAGCCCCTGCTGGCCTGGAACTCACTATGGAGACCAGGCTGGCCTTGAACTCACAGAGATCAGCCTGCCTCTGCCTCCTGAGTGCTGGGATTAAAGGTGTGTACCATCACACCTGGCCCTATATATTTATTTTTATTTTATGTGTATGAGTGTTCTGCCTACATGTATGTAACTGCATCATATGTGTGCAGTGCGTGTGAAGGCCAGAAGAGAGCGTCAGATCCCCTGGAACTGGTGTTAGGGATGGATGTTAGCCGCCATGTGGGTGCTGAGAACCGAACCTGGGTCCTCTGCAAGAGCAGCCAGTGCTTTTAACCGCTGACCAATCTCTCTAGCCCCTATTTATTTTTATTTTTGCAATACCGGGGAAACAATCCAAAGACTTGTACATGCTATGAAAGTGCTCTACCCCTGAGCACATCTAAGCCTCTCACTAGGGGATCCTAGGCAGGGGCTCCACCACTGAGTCACACCCCAGCCCCTCACTGGGGATTCTAGGCAGGGACTCTATCACTGAGCCACACCCCTAGTCCTTCACTGAGGTACTCTACCACTAAGCCAAACCCCAACCTTATATCTGGGCACAAATGCTTGAACAGACAGGACGTAACATGTATGATAGAAGGCATGAGGTCCAGGGGGGCAGTGTATGTGGGGGCATGGATCGGATAGGGGGTCTAAATTTGATTAAGAAATATTGTATGAAATGCACAAAAACTCAATAAAAATATAAACAAACAAAACAAAACAAAAAAACTCCATCTCATCTGTAACCCAGTCTGGCCTTAAACTCAAAAGCCTTCTTAAGCTTCCCAAAGTCACCCACACTGTGAGAAAACAGAGACCCAGGGTTGGAAGTCAAGCTCAGTGGTAGAGCACAGGTTTAGCAGACCCAGCCCCCAAATAATACAAACCAGAGATACCAAGGAGCTTTTCAAAGTGGAGCTGGGGTTGGAGATGAAACCCAAACTGCGCTTAGAGTGTAGGAGTCGGACAGGAAAGTACTGTTTTGCAACGTCTGGTGGAACAGGCTGGCTCAGACCACGCCTGACAGTGGCCACACTTAGGGAGAGGTTTGTGGGGACTGGAGCATCACAGGGGGCCCTGACTGCTGCTGAAAGCACTACAGATGCAGTGTGCGCGCAGTGGGCTATATCACACCAGATCACACCATTGCTGTCCTGGCCTGGGTGTGGCCAGACACCACCTAACAGTGGCTTCAACTCAAGTAAGTCTCTTTGTTTTGTGTTTGCTTTTGAAACAAGGCTCTCATACTCGAACCCAGGTGGGCCTGGAACCCAGTATGTAGCTCAGGCTAGCCTCCAACCTGCAGCAGTCCTGCCTCAGCCTCCTGAGTGCTGGGACGACAGGTGCATGTCACTGAACCTGAACTCACAGTCATTTCCTCACAGCTCTGGAGACTGAGTCCAAACTCGGTTGCCAGAGCCATGGTGCTGGCGGTGACCCTGTCCATGTGGCAGATGGCCACTTCCCAGTCCTCACCTCTCCTTCTAAGAGGACACAAACCCCCCCTCAAAAGTAGGGCTCCACCCTTATGACCCTACAAAGGCTCCTCCTTCAACACAGCCACACCAAGCGGACAGGGCACCACAGACCTTCCAGCCATTTAAAGCCCGGTGTCAGTCTTCCTAGTCTCAAAGTGGACCAGCAGACAGGAAGTAACAGGAAGGTCCCAGCCTGAGTGATCCTCCCCAAACAGCTGAACCAAATCAATCAAAACATCTGGTTTAATTACATGCCAGGGCAGGGCCGCTCACACTAGGGAGGCTGAGGCAGGAGGACCACACAGAGTTTGAGGCCAGTGTGGGCTATAGAGTTCCAGGCCATCCTGGGTTATGGAGTGGGACCCTGTCTCTGGAAACACAAACAAACAAGAAGAACCAGATGGGCCAGGCAGAGTGTGGCAACTAGCGATAGGGAGGTGGAGGCCAGAGGACTGGGAGTTCAAGGCCAGCCTGTACCTCACAGCAAGATCCTGTCTCAAAAGAACACAAAGGCTTGGGGCTGCCCTTGCCCAGCACATGCAAGGCTCTGGGTTCCATCCCTAGTACCAGAAAAGTCAAAACCATAAAGAGATGCCAGTTCACAGTCTGCTCTGACACTACATTTAAACCAAACAACTGATGAGTGACAGCAAGGGGGTGGAGAAACTAACTCCTTACACTGCCGGCAAGAACGTGGTAAATGAGGTTCCTCAAGAGTTTTAACACATGTTGGACCCAGACATTCCACCTCCAACATACATGAAAACACAAATCCTTGTACACAAATGTTCAAAGCAGCATTATTCCTAATAACTAAAAAGCGGAAACAATCCTGTGTCTGTTAACTAATGGAGAAAATACAATGTGGTACATCCCATACCATGGAATACTATTCAGCCATAAACAGAATAATGCATGCTATAATGTGGGGTGTAAGAGAAACCAGTCACAAATGCCCACACACTGTATGATTTCATTTAAGGGAAATGTGCAGGTCAGGGAAATTCACAGAAAGGAGCTTAGATGCTGCCAAGCACTGGGGGTGGGAAGGACAGAGAGGAAGTGGCAGAGAGCTGGAGGGGAGCAGGATTTCTGTTTAGAGCAATAAACATGTCTTAAAATATTTTGTTTTGAGGCAGGGTCTCATGTAGCCCAGGCTGGCCTCAGATTCCCTATACAGCTGAAGATGACCTTAAACTCCTGATCCTCCTGCTTTCACTGGGGTCCTGGGATTACAGGTGTGCACCACCATGCCCAGTGAACATGTTCTAAAATTGACAGTGGTGATGGTTGTACAATTCTGTGAATGGACTACAAACCGCAAAATTGTATGCTTTAAGTGGGCAAAGTATATTTTATGTGAATTATATCCAATAAAGCTCACTGAATAAGAGCCAGGAGTTTGAATGTTCGTAACCCCAGTACTGGATTACCAGTCTCAAATAGAGGGGAAGCTCTGAACAGATGGCTTAGTGGTTAAGCACACTTGCTGTTCTAGAGGACCGGGTTCGGTTCCCAGCATCCACGTCAAGTGGCTCACAACTGCCTGTAACTCCAGCTCTAGGGGATCCAACAGCCTCTTTGGCTTCTGAGGGCACCCGCACACACATGCGCGTATTCACGCACAGATACACATATAAATAAGAAAGATAAATATAATTTCAAATAATTCAGATGGAGTCTTGTGTGGTGGTGCACGTCTTTAAGCCCAGCACTCAGGAGGCAGAGACAGGCGGATCTCTGTGAGTGCCAGGCCAGCTAGGGCTGCATAATGAGACTAAAAAATAAATAAATAAATTTAAAAATTTAAAGTAAATTTGCCTCAAGGACCCTTCAGGTCCCAATCCACTTCTGTTCCTTGCCCTCTTCACCAGAGTCTGGAAAACTGAATCAAGAGATGGAATACCGCCATCCTGCCTCCGTTCTCACTAATCCGTGGTGTCCCAAGTTTCCTCCTCCCACCGTGGTCCAGTCATTAGCCACAGCGGAACTAGAGTCTCTAAGTACTGCAAAAACGCGGGGGACCATATTCCGGGGCATGCTGGGAGATGTAGTTCAACCCACACTCGGAGCGCCCCGCAGGGCTCTATTCATGATTGACGGAAGTCGGGAGTGCCAAATCTTGCCCGGCCTCCCTCGGAACTTCAGAGCTCCAACCCGCCAAAGGGGGACATCGCCGTCACGACCCACTCCGCCTCTCGCAGCTCACCTCACAAACGGTTCCTCGATCCTCGACGCTTCCACTGTCTCCCGACACCGGAAAGAACTGCTGTTTTGCTTCCTCCGCTCCGCCCACTTCCGCTGGGCAATGGAAACCGGAAACAAGGCTGCCCCTAGTTGCGGAGGTGTTTCCCCTGGTTCGGTAAGTCCTTTCTTCGTCTCTCTTCCTCTCCCCCCGCCCCCCGGAAACGTGAGTGGCAACTCGAAGGTTCCGGATAGTGAAAGTGGCTGGAATGTAATAGAACACTGCTCTGTACTAGGCGTTCCTCACGCAGGGGAGTTCCGCCTTGATTCCCTGGCTGTTGAGTCCTCTCCCAGTCTGGGTTTAAGGACTATTTCCCGCAGAGATTCGGATGCCCACTTCCCTAAATAAACTTCCTTTTTATAATTCAAAGTGAGAAGTCTTCTGTGCCCAGTTTGTAGAAATACAGCAATAGTTAAAAATCGCAAGGCCAAGCTAGTCAGTCACACTCAGGAAACAGATTTACAATGGCAGCGCCCAGTTATTCTAGGAACCAAAGCATACCGTTCTCACCAATTGGTAAATCTCTAGAGACCGTGAGATTTATTTATTTAGCTCTACCAGGCAGGTTCCCAGCTTGGAGAGGGACCCGGGCTGAGGGAGAAGGGAGGAGGAAAGACTCGAATCCAGCTCCCTAGATCTCCCACCAGGGTAGTAGGAATGCCTTGCTTCTCTGTGGGTATCTGACACTGAGGCTTTTCAGTCCTAAGGTCCCTTTAAGTACTTTGTTCCCTTACCTGAGTCCCGCCCAGAGCAGGTAATCAGAAGCCCCACCCCTCCACCAGAAACCCGGACCAGGCTGGGTAATCTGAAGTGGGGCACCCCTCCTCCCTGTCCCCTCCCCACTCCCCTACCCATCCTTCCCAGTTGGCTGTCCCTGACCCGGGAGGATCTCCGTTAAAGTAGAGAGGCAGGGTTCCCAGCTCTGGGCAGGTAAGTGAATGTTCCCGAGGAATGTGGGGGGCTCTGGTATCCTGACTCCCTCTCACCTCTGAGATCTAGACGCTTGGGACCCTCATTCCTAGGCCCTGGAGTCCAGCATTCCCAATCTCCTCATACAGTCAGATCTAGAAATATAGGACCTTGTCTGTCCTGTAATCTTTGATCTCTGTGGGTGGATGAGGCAATGGGCAGAGGGAGGTGGACTTGGAGTGGAATCTTCCCGGTAGGAAGGGACCAGAATTGAAGGGACCTGCTTGAATGCCTACTATGTATCAGACCAGTGATAAGTGCTGCGGGCACGGCAGAGGTGTAGGGAAAAAAAGCCTTGGCAAAACTTTTTATGCTCATCTTTGGAAGAGCACTGTTCTCTCTGAAATCCTACAGTGACATCCGCAAACTTGGAACAATGAGCAAGTTATTTTATTCGGTGACTCAGTTTCTTCATCTATAAAATAGAAATAATAATAGGGACTGCTTTGAAAATTTAGATGAGCTGATAAAGACCCACAGTGTCTGGCACAGGACGCAGGGTGAATACCTGCTTTTACTTTCATTCATTACCACAGAGTCCAGGCAGGGAGACCTTGCCTCATTAACGCCTGCCAAGGCATTTGTCATCTAAGAGTCCTTGAAACATGAGGGGTCATCCTTCCTTGCTGTTGGTCTATATGGGATTGGCCACCTGCCTGGACACCTTACCTAATGCAGACCAAGACGAAGGTGAGTGTTTGGGGAAGAGCCATGTCCAGAGGTTAAACCTCATCCTTCCCCAGACCCATGGTATAACTGTTTTCCCAGACCCTAGCCTCCTCCCTCAGACCCAGGAGTCCGGACCCCAGACCCCAGACCCCAGACCCAGGCCCCAGCTTCCTCTCTCAGACCCGGGGTTCCATGCCCCAGACTCCTCCCTTGGGTCTAGGGGTGCAGACCCCAGCCTGCTCCCTCAGATCTAGGGGTCAAGACCTCAGCCATCCTCCCTCATATCCCAGGATCCAGTCCCCATCCCTCCTCCCTCAGACACAAGGGTCCAGGCCTAGCCTTCCTCCTTCAGACCCTGGGCATTTCAGGCCTGGCCTTCACCCCTCAGGATCTTGTACCTCTCTGTCTCCTCTGTTCTCAGACCTAAGGACTCTCTATTTCCTAACTCTGATATCTTTAGTTCTTGAAGTTTTCCTGGATCCCCCAGAGGCCCAAAGTTTCCTGGTTGGCCGCAGGAGGATTCCTCGTGCTAACCACTGGGACCTGGAGCTGCTGACCCCTGGAAACCTTGAGCGGGAGTGTCAGGAGGAGAGGTGCTCCTGGGAAGAGGCCCGAGAGTGCTTTGAGGACAACACACTGACGGTGAGGGGCCTCAGAGGACCCTGGAGTCAAGGGCCCTTCTGACTTCTTGGGTCCTTGGGTGGGTAGCAGTCAAGCCTTCACCTCATTCTTCCCGGAGGCCTCGTATATCTGGGTGGACTGGTTGTGAAAGGCTGCGAACTGCCCCATTTAGTCGCTCTGTCCTCTCCCTTACCCTCTGTTCTAGGAGCGCTTTTGGGAGAACTACAAGTACAATGGCAAGGGAGGTGAGTGGGGCCGGGAAAGGAGCCTTTTCCAAAACCAGAGTTCCCTCCACACATTCAGGAAGTGCCTTCTCCTAGCCCCTATGCTGCTCAGAGATGACCCCTCTCCCTTCTACTCTGGGCCACTGCATTCATATTCACTGAGGGCTCAAGGCCCCAGGAGGGGGACGTGTGGGTGATGGATGGAAGTCCTACCCCAGTGAGGCCCAGCAGGGGAGGGGGAAACCCACCTGGGCCCTGGCTTAGAGTCTACAGACTCAGCTCCTTCTAAGCACCTTGGTTGCTAGGGGGGCAGTTCCCTAGCAACAGAGCCAGGGCAGGAAACCTGGTCATTCTCACCTGCCCAGTTTGCCTACCCCCCAACCCCTCTTCTGATCTCTGAAACCCCCATTTTGGCCTTTAGCCTTGTTGCTAAGGAGGGGCTGCTCCTTAGCAATGAGGCCTGGCCAAGCCAGACCGAGGAAGCCAAAAGAACTACCTGGCTAGCTTCCCCTCCCCCACAACCCCAGGCCAGCCACAGCCTGCCTGGTTGCTAAGTAGGCCTTCTCCCTAGCAACCACACCTAGCTGGAGGACCAGATCCTCTTGCCCAGCTGGAGGACCCCCACTGGGCACCAGCTGCCCCACCCCCTTGTGGCCTGGTTGCTAGGGGTGGATGCACCTTAGCAACAGGCCCTAGGACTGGACTAGAGTCCTCACACAGAAACGAGATGCAAGGGGAGATATTTCCTTTGCTCCAACCCTACCAGGGCCTCGTGGCTCCATGGATGACCTGTAATCTGCCAGACTTCAGCAGACCTGACTTCTTAGTACAAACCTTCTCAGGGTGGGAGGGAGCCAGGCCTAGGTGGCCCCAGCCGTGCAATCCCAGCTACTCCAGAGGCAGAGGCAGGAAGATCATGATTTCAAGGCCAGCCAGGTCAAGTTTGAGACCAACTTGGGCTACTCGAGGCACTGCCTCAAAACATTGAAACTGAGGCAGGCATCATAGGGCCTGCTTTTAATCCCAGCACTCCAGGAGGCAGAGGCAGGTGGATCTCTGGGAGTTCCAGGCCAGCCAGGGCTACAGGGACACCCTGTCTCAAAAAGACCAAAAAAGAAAAAATTAAATTAAAAAAAACATATTTTATTATTTTTATTTTATGTGTGTATGTGTGTATTGTCTGTATGTATGTGAGTACACCCCTGTTGTGCAATGCTGGGGAGGTCAGATTCCCCTGGAACTGGAGTTAAGGACAGTTTGTAGCCACCATGTGGGTTCTGGGAATCAAACCTGGGTCCTATGCAAGAGCAGTCAATGCTCTTAACCGCTGAGCCAATCTCTCCAGCCCCAAATTAATTAAAATTTTTAATGGACAGCTAGGTAGCTCAATGGTAAGAGTACTTGTCTAACGTGCAAAACCATAGATTCACTCCTCAGCATGGAAAAAAAATGTATAAAATTGAAAAATAAGAAAACAGCTGGGGGTGGCTCATACATAGTAATATTTTCTCAATGGTCTGTCTCTTTTTCCTTTCCCCTTCGGTATTGGAGATTGAATCTAGGGCTTCAGATATGCTAGCTGAGTGCTCTACCACTGAGCTACATTCTACAGCTCTAATTTACTTTGTATTTTGATATAGGGTCTCACTATGTAGCCCTGGCTAGCCTGGAACTTGCTATCTATCTATAGACCAGGCTGGCCTTGAACTCACAGGATCCACCTGCCTCTACCTCCCAATCAATCAGTGAGTTTTCATGAGCTGATAGTAGAGGCTGTGTTCCCATTTTGCAAAGTAGAAAATAGAGGCTCTAAGAAAGGAGCTGGGTACATTGCCCAAGGAGCCATAGCCACCCTGTTTCTTTAGCTCATGTACCTGCCATGGAACAGGAGGGGTTGGATGTTCAGAAGCACCCTCTACCTACAGGGCGTAGAAGCTTGGATGTTGCTGGCCTGGCGGTGGGGCTGACCTCGGGAATCTTGCTTGTTGTACTGGCTGGCCTGGGAGCCTTTTGGTACCTGCATTACCGACGGCAGCGCCTTATCCAGAACCAAGAGTCCTGTCTGCAAGAGTAAGGCTTCTTTGGGAGTTTGAAAAGGATTTGCAAAAGGATGTGGGAGGTGGGTAACAGTAAGGGAGGAGACTTAGTCTGAGATGTGCTAAAAATTGGAGAGGCCAGCAAGTGATGGAGGGTTTGGAGGGACAGGCCTGTGAAGAGTGAGTCTGTCTGTGTGCTCAATCCCATCTGTCTGTCCAGAAAACAATAGTTCTTTCTGCAGCTGGTGCCTACCTGCCTGTCTTCTGGATACCGGGTTTCATTACTTTGGGTACTATTGCAAATGGTAAGGCTGTTACTGCTGGCCTATGGTCCAAGGCTATCTGTGGCATTGTCATTTCCATGGTGACAGGTCACAGGGTGTTTTAGTGTGAGCTATGACCTAAGTGTGTCTTTCTTTCTCACCCAAAAGATGTCTTGAGAGTTGTGTCTGGCCTTAGTGGCTCATGCCTGTAATCCTAGCCCTTGGAAGGCTGAGGCAGGAGGATCTAAAATGCTCAAGGCCAACCTGGGTAACTTGGTGAGACCCTGTCTAAAAATAAAAAGCAATAAAAGAAGGCTGTGTTGTAGGGCAGGGGTAGAGGGGAATCCACCAGTGAGGGGCTGGAGGTGTGGCCTACTGGCAGTGTGGTTGCCTAACTCCTAGGATGCTCTGGGTCCTGAAGGGGGAAAAAAAAAGGAACTTGGGGATGTCTCAACCAGTTAACCAGTTAAGGCGGTTGCATCCAAGCCTGAAGACCTGAGTTCAAACTCCAGACCCACGTTGGAAGGAAAGAACTGACTCCCTGAAGTTCTTTTCTGACTTCCACAGGTGTGCATGCATACACATAGGCACAGAATAAGTAGATATAATTTAAAAATAAAGATAACTCAGCTGGGCCTGGTGGCACACACTTTTAATCCCAGCACTCCAGAGGCAGAGGCAGGCAAATCTCTGTCAATTCCAGGCCAGACTGTTCTGTGTAGTGAGTTCTAGGCCAGCCAGAGGTACACAGTGAGACCGTATCTAAAAATTAAATAAATTAAAGGGTGGATCTGGGCCAGGCATAGTGGCGCACGCCTTTAATCCCAGCACTTGGGAGGCAGAGGCAGGTGGATCACTGTGAGTTCAAGGCCAGCTTCATCTACATAGTGAGTTCCAGGCCAGCTGGGGCTACAGGGAGACCATGCCTCAAAAAGACCAAAAAAAAAAAAAAAAAAGTGGATTTGGAAGATGGGCAGGGTTAGCACGGATCACACCTGTAATCCTAATTCTTTGTTTGGTTTGGTTTTTTTCTTTTTGATTTCTTTTGAGACAGGGTCTCCATGTAGCCCCAGCGGGCCTGAAACTCGCTATGTAGGCCAGGCTGGCCTTGAATTGACAGAGATCCACCTGCCTCTGCCTCCCAAATGCTGTTGGGACTAAAGGCCTGCACCACCACCATACCTGGCTGGTTTTTGTTTGTTTGTTTGTTTTGTTTTGTTTGAGCCATGGTCTCCCTGTAGCCCCTACTGGCCCAGAGCTCTCCATGTAGATCATGCTGGCCTTGAATTCACAGAGATCCTCTTGCCTCTGTGTCCCAAGTGCTGAGATTAAAGGCCTGTGCCACCGCATCTGGCTATAATCCAAATTCTCGAGAGGCTGAGACAAAAGGATTATTAGGAAATTGAGGCCAGCCAGGGAGAGTGTGACTGAAAAAAAAAAAAAGTATGGATATGGGAAATTTGGGGACTAAATATCTCTGTTCTGTTCCTGTCAGTGTGGACCTGGGACTGTCTGCTTCAAGTGCCCGCCTACCTGCTGTTTCCTGGTTTACTCTGGTATACTGTGTGTCTGTGAATGGAAGCGTTTGTTTGCAGTTTATTTCAGTGGCTGCCTGTCCATGCCCTTCATCCTGTCTTTCCTCTTCCTCCTCTTCCTCCTCCTCCTCTTCTTAATTTTATATGTATGAGTATATTGCCTGCATGTGTGTGTAAGTGCACCTGTGTCATGCAGTGCCTGAGGAAGTCAGAAGATGGTGCTGGATCTCCTGGAACTGGAGTTAAGGATGGTTGTTAGTTGCCATGGGGTGCTGGGAATTGAACTCAGGTCATCTGCAAGAGCAGTCAGTGCTCTTAACCACTGAGTCATCTCTCCAGCCCCAATCCTGTCTTTTCTAACAGATGACCCCTTTCCTCTGGGCCCTTTCCCTTCCATCTGTGTTCTCCCACCCCCACCCCCACCCCCACCCCCAGACTCTCTTGGTCTCTAGCCCCTGACCCTGTAGGTTTCTCAAACTAACATGTTTCTGTCCTCAGGACTGGGCTCATCAGCCCCTTGAACCCACCAACGCCCCTGCCTCCACCCCAGCCTCCAGGCCTCCCCACCTATGAGCAGGCACTTGCAGCCTCTGGGGTGCACGACGCTCCTCCGCCCCCTTACTCTAGGTACGGGCTGGAGCTTCTGCCCAGAGGGCGGGGCGCAGAGGGGAGGGCACAGTGGTAGAAGGGACGAGTTCTCAAGGGCGGGGCTTGGGTTTGGGGGCAGCCCACCAAGGGCGGGACTTGAAGGACGGGGGCGGGTCCAATGTGATTGTCCATAGGGGCGTGGCCCAGTTTTGGAAGAATGCAGCATTACAAGAGGGTGGGGCTTGTGCCCAGAGGGTCTGGGATTGGCTTGGGCGCCCAGGGCTGGTCTGAGGGGTTTTGGGATGGGTGAGGGACAACGACTGGACAGCCGGATCTTTGACTTTTCTGTATCCCTCCCCTTGTAGCCTCAGAAGGCCTCACTGAAAACCTACCCAGGAGCCCCAGCTCCCCGCACTGTGCCTCTGGTTCATACCGGATTCCGGAAGTCCCCAGGCTTCTCAGACTCCTGGGCTGCATTATCGGGTGTGCATGGGGGGAAGCAGTCAGGGTCGTCCCACCCGAGGCCTACTATGGCACACGTGTTTCCGCCGCGTAGGGAACCACGCATGTCCATGCCCCTGTCCCTCGCGCGCCAAGGTTCCCAAGCTTTCTTGAGCTGCAAGACTTTGCAGTCCTGCAGCTCGGCCTCGGAGGAGTGGGCATGCGGGCTTGGAAACTCGGACCCGGGGTTGGGCGTTCTTGCGTGTGTGTGCACAGATGTGACTCGCCCCCCTCCACGGGGTGTGCACACTCAGGGAAGCTGGCCTATGCACACGCGTGTCTTGGTGTCTGTCCTCACGCGCGCACAGGGGCGCTTCGTAACCCAACATAAAGGTGGGGGCGCGTTTGCAAAGCGCTGGGAAGTGGGGGGGGTGTCAGGCCTGTGCTGCACCAGAGGAGCTGCACTTGAGCTGAACTGTCCCCTACCTACAAACCATTGGGAAAAGGAATCAAAAGAAAGAAACCCAGGAAAAAGCAAAAGTGAAACAATGCAAAAATAAAAATAAAAAACAAAAATGTAACGAACTGAACCGCGTTCCCGGGCGCATCTACGCGCGGCGGAGCTGGTTTTTTTGTATAGACGGTGCACCCTACAGGCTCTGCTAGCTAGCTCTCTCTAGCTCTCTAGCTCGCTCTCTCTCTCTCTCTCTCTCTCTCTCTCTCTCTCT